ACAGATGAAAGGGACTTGGGGATCATGATTGACCACAAGATGAACATGAGCCTTCAATGTGATGCTGCGGCTAGTAAAGTGAGCAAAACGCTGGCTTGCATCCATAGATGCTTCTCAAGCAAATCCCAGGACGTCATTCTCTCGTTCTACTCGGCCTTGGTGAGGCCACAGCTGGAGTACTGCGTCCAGTTTTGGGCTCCACAATTCAAAAAGGATGTGGAGAAGCTTGAGAGGGTGCAGAGGAGAGCCATGCGCATGATCAGAGGTCAGGAAAACAGACCTTATGATGAGAGGCTGAGAGCTATGGGACTCTTCAGCCTGGAAAAGCACAGGCTCAAGGGCGATCTGGTGGCCACCTATAAGCTTATCAGGGGTCCTCACCAGGATCTGGGTGAACGTCTGTTCACTAGAGCGCCCCAAGGGATGACAAGATCGAATGGTCACAAACTCCTCCGTGACCGTTTCAGGCTGGACATAAGGAAGAACTTCTTTACTGTCCGAGCCCCCAAGGTTTGGAATAGACTGCCGCTGGAGGTGGTTCAAGCACCCACTTTGAATGCCTTCAAGACACATTTGGATGCTTATCTTGCTGGGATCCTATGATCCCTGTTGACTTCCTTCCCCTGGGGCAGGGGGCTGGACTCCATGATCCTTCAGGGTCTCTTCCAGCCCAAATGTCTATGACTTGCAGCTGCTGAATGCAGTGCACGACTCCTCGCACTCTTGGCTTGCAACGCAGCGACCTTGGCACCAGTAGAACAGGGCGGTGGCGATGGAGCAGGGTGACGGTGACGACAAGTCGTCTGATGATTATAAAACCTTCAAAGTGGCTTCTCAGTGCAAAAGCAGACAGATAAATAGGCCCAATATTCTTCCTTTTACACACTGACGGATCAGCTATTGAACCTCAACATGCAGCATTGATTTGAGTGCATCTTGGCTTCTTCATGGCTGGCCCAATAACAGTTTGCATGTGTATTGTTTTCACAGCCCATCTGCTTCATAAATGGAGCCCTTAACCCAGCAACCACTAGCGTCCGGACTGGGCTTAATACCTGTAGGTGTACAAAACAGTTTGCTTTTCTTCTGCATTGGTTCATTATTAGATGAATATATTGATAGTCCTGGGTATGACTGAAAACTGCACCCGATCGGGGTTTGGGATCACTGCGGTGGGACTGCTCGTGCTGGAGCAGCCCCTAGAAAGTGCTGCCAGGGCCAAGGCCCGAGGAAGGGCGAGTCTGGGGAACTCTAAAACTAGGGCTGCACCAATAAACATTTTTTGGCTGATACTGATGGCTCATTATTAGCCAGCCATATCGGCCAATACCAATCCAATTGCCAATACGCAGCCTGGCAGCTTGGAGAGCAGCGTCCGGCTGGTAAGTTTGTGGGGGGGAAGGGACTGGGGGAGAGAAGGAGCGTGGGGGGCAGATCGAGGCCCCCACGGTGAAGGAGGGAGTGGGGCTGGGGCAGGAGCAAGGGTAGGCACTGCCCAGCCAGGGCAGGGCGTGGGACGGAGCCAGCAGCACATCCAGGGGGCGCTGGGGGTGGGGAGGGGGAGCATCTCCTGGCACTGTGTGCACACCGAGAGAGGTATGGGGAGCATGTGTCTCCCCGGATTTGTGTGTGGGGGTGAAGGCAGGCTGCTCACTGTAGGTTTGGGGCTAGGGGCTGCACAAGCGTCTTTCTAGCAGGGGCTGGGCAGGTGGCAACAGTAGCACTAGGAGGCGGGTAGCAATGGGGTGGGCTACAGCCACCCCAAAATTCACCATAGCCTCCTCAGTAGCTCTCCCTCCCAGAGCCGCAGTCACCCACCCTGCCCTCCCCTGCCCCAAGCACAGCCCTGGCTCAGTACCCATTCTGGAAAGAGCCCAGTGCAGCCCCTGGCCCACCTTTGCCCCACGCAAATTGTGGCGGCACATGCCTCCCCCCCAGGGGTGCACACAACAGCGGGAGCTCCCCACCCCAGACAAGTTGCCTGTGGCTTCACCCTGTGCCCCACCCCACCCCAGCTGGGCAGCACCTGCCCCAGTCCCGCTCCCTCCCTCACTGGTGGCCTCAATTGTCCCCCCGCACACGCACACCCCTACCCACCCCATGCTCCTTCCCCCCACGTACTTACCGGCTGGATGCTGCTCTCCAAGCTGCCAGGCTGCATTCCTAGCTGCATGCATGCTGTGGCTGTGCACATACACACAGCATTTATTGGTAATATCAGCTGCATCAGCCAAAAAGAGCTGATTGCGGATAATGTCAATTTTCCTTTTATCAGTGCCAATACGGTATGGATCAATGTATCAGTGCATGTCTACCTAAAACCCCAGCCCCCACTGCCTTGTGGGTTACCCCCTGGTGGGTAAAGATTAGAGGAACTGACCCCGAAATAAAAGTAAAGGCAGGGCCAGATTATTAACTAGAGTAGACAGCTATACCTGGCTCCCTCTGGAAAGTCTTTTCTGGTGGATCAGGTGGTCAAGCAGATATGCTCATCTCCTTGTCTGTGAAGGCAGATCTGTCAAGAGCTGTATGGAAAGCGTAGGGCATCAGTTCAGGTGCAATAGGAACTGATGGCCATCTACTGCATCCAGACTTGTCTCCAGATGTCTTGACTCACCTAATGTCATGCCACTGGATTCAGACAGGCCTGGACAAAAGAGTGTGGGTGACTCTGCACAACTTTCCCTCACTTAAATCCAACTTGCACACAATTCATAACATCATCGTTATCTCCCATAGACACACTCAAGTCCTGTGGCGATGGGCGAGTAGCAAAACAGCAGGTGTGGATACACTGGGAGTGTAGTTGCAGACCTGCACACAGGCAGTTCAGGGCACAGGATCACTTCTCACTGGACCAAAGCAGCAGTGGAATTCAGCAGCCCCCTGGGCGACTGGGCAGCCCTATTTAGGTTCACACTGCTCACCTCTGTAGTATGAAGAAGGGACTAGAAAAGGTGCCCTAAACATTTCATAGACATTAGGGCTGGAAGGGACCTCACAAGATCATCAGGTCCAGCCCCCTGCCCAAGGGGCAGGAAGTCTACTGGGGTCAAATGATCCCAGCAAGACAAGCATGCAAGTGGGTCTTAAAGGTGTCCAGAGTAGGTGCTTTCACCACTTCTGGGGGGAGTCTATTCCAGACTCTGGGGACTTGGATGGTAAAGAAGTTTTTTCTTATGTCCAACCTAAAATGGTCTTCCTGGAGTTTGTGACCATTAGACCTTGTCTTCCCTTGGGGCACTCTGGTGAACAGATGTTCTCCCAGTTCCTCATGCACACCCCTTATATACTTATAGGCTGCCACCAAGTCCCTCCTGGGCCTTCATTTCTTCAGGCGGAAGAGTCCTGTGCCTCTCAGCCTCTCATCATAAGACTTGTTCTCTTGCCCTCTGATCATGCGCATGGCTTTTCTCTGGACACTCTCAAGCTTCTCCACATCCTTCCTAAAGTGCGGAGCCCAGAACTGGATGCAGTACTTCACCTGTGGCCTCACCAAGGCCGAGTATAGCAGGAGGATGACTTCTTGGGTCTTGCTTGAGTTGCATTGATAGATGCAAACCAGGGTTTTGTTTGCTTTGCCAGCTGTGGCATCACATTGGTGGCTCATGTTCATCTTGTGGTCAATCATGACCCCCAAGTCCCTTCTGGTCGTGGTGCTAGTGAGTGTAGCACTGCTGAGCCTATAAGCATGATGTGGATTTTTTTCCCCTGGAATGAAGTACCTTGCATTTCTCAGTGTTGAATGCCATCATGTTTTGATCCGCCCACCTTGCAAGCCTGTCCAGGTCAGCCTGAATCGCCAGTCTATCCTCTAGTGTGACCACACTTCCCCATAGGTTGGTATCATCAGTGAATTTAGCCAGTCTGCTTCTGATACCTGAACCTAAATCATTTATAAAC